TTGGCTCTAAAGCCATGACAAAAGAGGAAGATACAGGGTGAAGGCCACTAAATACTAATTTATCTTGGTATCAAATTAAAAAAAGACAAAGAAAAACCCAACTGTGAGGTGAGAATCATCAGTAATGATGACCTGTGTGTATCTGGACATGTTGAGTGGCACAAAGCACAAAAGAAAAGCCGCTGAAGGTCTGAGGAAGGGTGGAGTTTAATTGAGGAAACACTCCAGTTGAGCTGATGTTCTGCTCCACCCATCGGCATGGAAACGTTATAAGCAAGCAAGCAGACCATCACAACACGAGGGTGTATGTCATGTGAGACAGTGAATAGCTGCGCCTGTGAAACGGTATTTGCTCTAAATGCGATTAGTTTCAGGAGCCTCGAAGCGCCGCGTTTCAGTTTTCCAGAGATGAAGATCATGGCTCGGAATCTGAGTGTCCCAAAAACAGCTCGTTTAGTGCCGTATAAGACAAAGAAAGCACATGTTTGTTCATAAATCCATCTTTAATGACAGCTGTAGTGACCTGCCAGATCGGTGCAGTGAACAGTTAGATCGACTTGAGGAGCAAAGATGTGTGTGGTCTCAGAGAGGATTAATTGTTGTTCACTGTCGGTGCAGGAAGTCCACGGAGAGCCTGCAGCAGCAGCAGTCGTCCCAGTCGGCAGGCCAGTTCACTCGCACTCCTCCTAACCCTCTGGCAGCTCTGGACCGGGCGGTGCGGCGGGCGTGCCGGCTTGTCATGGATCAGCTCTTGCTGGATTTGAAGCCTTTCCTCCCAGGCCTGCTCACCCGACCCTGGCTGGCTCAGGGAGACCCGACCCCCAAACTTTGCCGCGTCCTGGAGCGTCACCTGGAGCTGTACTTGCGCGTTCGGCCTCCCTGCCGGCAGGTATCAGATTCAGAGAGCGGTTTAAAAATGTACTGTGTGTGTCGAGGGTAAAGGTGGTCTAGAGGTACAGAACCTAATAACCGAAGAAAGTGTAAATAACCTCCGAAGACAGGAATAAGTCTCATAGTGCATATTTGTTTTATACATTCTGTGTGTGCAGCGTCTGCAGGAAGAGGCCCAGTGGCTGATGGTGGTGGAGTACGTCAGGGCTCTGATGCAGAAGAGGCTGGTGTGTCGTAGTGGCGAGGAGAGGAGGCAGCTCGCTCAGCAGATGCTTCAGGACGACCAGCTGTTCAGAGAAATCTTCCACAGCCTGGTGGGTATAAAGTACTATTACACAATATTATTACACATGATGCAGAAAAATGTACCAGGGTATGTAACACTGAACAATATCAGTATGTTAAGGTCGAGACGTTATAGAAATATGAGTACTACATTAGCTGCAGTTTGAAAATGTATTTTATTTAGGCCCGTGCTGGTCAATATTCAATTAATTTAACAGATTAACAAAATACACATGACATTATAAAATGAA